CGGCTCACCGGGGCCCTTTCCTCGTTCATCTTGTCCTCCCTGCAGGTCCCACAGAGGCACCCAAAGAGCCCGTTGAATATCTGGATGAAGCAGAGGCCAAGCTCCACCAGGCTGGCACAACCAATGAGGGAGAAGAGGATCACGTTGAAGCGCGTGACTCCAGGAGGGTCCAGGCAGGTGTCCCACAGCGACGTGTCAAAGAGGTAGCTCTCCTGGCTGGCCGGGGGAAGGGGAGAGGTAATAAAAGAGGTGGGCTGGATCTGGTGAACCTTCCAGATGTTAACTACACACACATGTGGCTACATGACTCTTCCCACCCATGGGAAGCCTCAAGAGCTGCCAAATATGCAAGCTGTGCTCTCCTCTCCTGTGCACACGCAATGTGTCCTTCTCCTGCCCTCCCCTCCCCTGGCACTCCCTCTCTGAAGAGATTCCCCAACCTCACGGATGATGACCTCTGCTAAACACCAGCTTGGCTGTCATGAAACCCTCTATATGGGTTTGCTTGGAAGGAAGCAGCAGGCTAATCTCCTATGCATGGCTGGAAGCCGAAGTCCATCTGTTTGAGGCTCCTGGGTTTTAGGGGCTCTTCTGGATTACCTTTTTAAAACTAACTGCGCTGATATCTACCTCTCCCAACACTTGAGTCTCCTTTCCAGATATGTGGGGTTTTTTGTGTTTCGTTGTGCATAGGAACGGCTTTGTGGGAGCTCAAGAGCTGAAAAACCGGACAGCCACCTCTCAAGGGTGCAAACTAGTCCAGCCTTCATGGCAAAGTGGGCCTCAGGCCAGCCCTGGCACTTCCGGAGCCTGTGGTATGAGATGCTGGGGCCTTTTGGCTTGGAAGCCCCACCTCCAGAAAGGATCGGTTCTTGGCGGAATTCCCAGGCTGGCCAGCTGGAGCCCTGCTTCCTTTCATAACACCAGCTCTGACAGGGGAATATTCTCTTTGTAAGGAATGCCAAACTGCTAACAAGAAGCATTCGAACAAGTGTCCAGCTGGACCGTTCCCCACCTCACTGGTCAGATGGCTTGCTGGTTAATCATGGGGGATGGGGAGATTGGATTTGTGACTGATGGCCATTTTAAGGGAAAGCTTCTCGATGGGGGGAGAGGAGTCACATCCAAGAGGTCTTTGCCTCCACTGACACTCTTGACTTTGCCATAGTCTCTTGAGACTGAAGGATGCCTAATCACTCTTGACAGCTTATTTCTAAATACGTACTTCCAACACTGGAAAAAAAAAAAGACACATTGCCAGAGTTGCCCTCCAAAGGACACCATCCAGCCTCACGCCCCCTGCATAGAGGACTTCTAGCTGCTCTGAATGACTAGGAAGGGCAAGCTGGCTTCCCTCAGGACAGAGAGGAGGTGACTGTGAGGGTCCTGACAGGAAGCAGGGGGAGTGGGCTGGAGTCCTGGCAGCTGTTCTGCCGTCCCCAGATGGACAGACTGGCAATGGACCTTCACCGCCGGGGCAAAGACCCCAACCCCCACCCTTGGAAGGCGTCCTGCCCCAATCCGTGGCAGGAGCCACTGGGCTGTCACCCAATTCAGGTGCCCTCTCTTCAACTGAGCCTTTCCGAACGGGCAAACCTGACTGGCTTGAGAAGCTTCTTTCCAGGCTCTGACCTTCCAGATTCTAACCGACCACCACTTTAATTGATGACCTAATATTCTGTACACAGTATTCCAATGGGGCTCACATTTTTAAACCTTAAATATGTTTATCAAAAGCATTCTCAGAGACAGCACTACCAAAAATAACTACAAACTGGTGGTGACTACATTCACGGTAACCATGGCCACCTACGCACCCCTAGGATGTATTGTTCTTCTTGTGATACAAAAGATCTAGTAGTCACCTTTTTGGATAAGTGAGTGAATGGAAGGACCCAAGGGTGAGACACTGGAAGCCCAGATGACCACCCACCCCAGCGTCCTCTTTTCTCTCTCCCCTCCCCCCGCTTTGTGGCCTGCAAGTGGCCCCCTCCAACCTGGAAGACTCCTCGTGGTGCTCGAAGGGGCGGCCCCACACCAACAGGGTCCCATTCAGGTACTGGCAAAAGGGCCCATGGACGAGGCCGAGCATGGAGACCGTGAGGGCGTACAGCGCTCCCAGGACTCCCACCGCCGCAAACAGCACAGACAGGAGCATCTACAGGGAGGGAGGGAGGGAGGGAGGGAGGTGCCATCAGGAAAGCGAGGCGAGTGCAGGGGAACCCCAGAAAGATCGGGAGAGAGAAGGCACTTGACAGCTGGGGCAATCCCCTGCACAAACACACACACCCCGCAAGTGGAACATGTATGGGTTTGCAAAGGGGCAGCGTCGGAAGAGGCGCCAAGAGGAGACCTGGGTCTTGGTGGAGATTTTCTTGCAATAGCCATGCTAGCTGGCCGGCCTTCTCTGGCGTTGCCCCAGCCCCACACTGGCATGTGCAAACAACCAGCAGGGAAAGGGTCAGAATCCAGGAAAAGTACTGAAGGGCTTGCCCTCCACCTCACCCCGCAGCGGTTTCCACAGCAGCCACGGCGTCCAGTTGCCTGGATGTGGATCGCTGGCACGAGGACCTGTGACAAGAGAGGTGCCCCTCAGCACATGCAGGACAGTGCCTCTGTGCCCTAGACTGGCCCCCCTCCCTCCCCCAAATGCAGGGGCCCCTGACACACTTTCTTGGCTCCCCTCCCAAACTGGCAGCCCTCTTGCATTCAAGCAGAGATCGGGGCTGAGGAAGAGGGACACGGACATGAGGAATCTGGCTTCCCCCAGTACTGTACTGTATGTGGACCTTGACCTTCCACAGAGAAGGTGGTATGGATGGCCCACCTCACAGAGATGCTGCTGTTTAACTGCATACGGATTCCCTTCCATGTTTATTTTCTTTAAGCCATCTCCTTCCAAAGGCACATAACCTCCTGGGCTAGTTTACCATCTAAAGCCCACAACAATATCTACAAGTAGACGGTAGTGGGAGAGTTTCTCAGGGTCCCCCTCTCTCCCTTCCAAGCTACAGGGCTCCTGGAGTCAGCCCCCCCAGGAGTCTCTGCCTGGCTTTCATCCCCGTTCGTTATCAGATGCCAGCCAAGCTGGATCCTTACCATGACGCCGCCTCCTACCAGACCCCCCAGGTACAAGACCTCAGGGGTCAGGCGTTTGCCCCAGCCATGGACGTATTCAGTCTTCCAGTCTGGAAAGGCCAGGAGGATGTTGGCCACAATGCCCAGGAGGGCCAAGGGCCAGAGGGCAGCCCCCACCACTCGGGAACAGGTCCCCGTGCACATCCTGGCAGCAGCTCTGTCTGAGGCTCTGCCGGGCTAGGAGGGGCTTATAGGGGGAGGCAGGGAGGGGCTCCGAGGCAAGGGGGGGCTGGGAAGCGGTGGCGCCAGGTCTCCTTGGGACTTCTTCTCACTCATTAGCCTGGCATTACTCACCTCATGAGGCCCATAAACCCCACCTTTGCTCCCAGCACCAGCAGGTGGGATGGATGAGTGCCAGGGGCAAGGTATGGCTAGGCGGGTCGAGGTGCAGCCCGGCACCCCTTGGGCCAAGACGTGGACCCACCGGGGCACACTGTGGCTTCAGAGGAACAGAGCTGAGCTCTCAGCCGGCCACTTGCCAGAGAAACATCAGGACTCAAGATGGCACAGCCTCCAGCCTGGCAGCAGTTCCTCTCCATGCCTCCACCCTCCCCTCAATACGCTGGTTACGGAAGCTTCCACCAAAGCAAAGCCCAGAACAGCCTGAATGCTCTGCCCGCCCCACATGGCCCCACCCTCTGCCTTCTGTGGGCAAGGCACAGGCCACAAAGTGGAAAGGTGCCCTCGGCAAGAGAGTTCAAGTGAGACTGGGTAGCTCAGTGGTTAAGGCATCCAGCTGCAGAGCCGAGCATCGAGAGTTCCCCACAGTAGTGCTTCCTTGACATGGGCTGGATTCAATGTTCCTTCCAGCTCTGCCGTTGTGAGGTCATGAGGGAACGTGCAAAGCCATGCACAGAGGCAGGAGATAGCATGTGCGTGCACACCCAGGTTTGGTCAGGACGATCAATCTGGACCCCAGAGAGTCGGAGGGTTGGCCTTCTCTCCCTAAGCAAGGCTGCTGGCCATCCCCCTTCCCCAAGTGGGCTCAGTTCCAGCCCCCTCCCCTGCTCCTCAGGTGTCAGTGCATGGCTGGTCCATCCAGCAACTCTTCAAGTCCCAAATGGCATCCAATCCGGGGTGTCCTCCTCCAGTTCTTCCAACATGCCTGTCCCCTCCAGCCACCCCTCCAATCCTTTCCTCTCTTCGTCACACACACCTCTCAAGGGGCATCTGTGTCAGGCAAAGAGGCTTCCGATCTCCTCTGTGCTTGGGGTGGCGAGGGCTGATCCAAGGCGCCTGGCCTAAAGACCTGGAAAGCCGGCCCATGCCCAGGCACAATGACATCTGCCACGGCCAAGGCACGAGCCCTGCTCTCTGCCTGTCGGGCCGGGTCTTCGCTGAGAGGCTGCCATTCTCCATCATCTTCACAGTGCTCAAAAAGGTCTCCAGCCACCAGGACATCCCCCAGGGTGGTGCCGCGCACCAGCAGGCTGACATCGTTTCCCGTGTGACCGGGGGTGGGCAGCACTTCCAGGTGCCCAGCATGGAGTACGTAGGGACAGCCCTGGCGCAGCCCTGTAGGGAGGTAGAGCCCGTCAGGCTGGCTGACATCCATGCCCACCAGCAGCTCCGCCTGGGGGAAGAGGTTGAGATTGCCCACGTGGTCTGAATGGCCATGGGTACAGACAACATGCCGGATGTCACTCGGAGACACCCCTTGCTCTGCCAGCCTTGCCAGAAGCTGCTCCCGGCCCCATGGCCCCCCTGTGTCCACCAGGGTGAGGTGTGGCCCTATAACCAGAGACACTGTCCCATCTGCCCGAGTGGTGCCATCTGGCAACTCTGTGGAATAGCCCTCCTGGAGGACCAGCACTGAGTAGGGGGAGCCTGGGATGAGTGGCTGGGTCAAGGCAGCTGTTGATGATTCAGCCAGTGGGGGGGAACAGGCCATCCTGAGCAAAGCCTGGCATTCAGGGGCTCCGCTGAGGTCCTGGACAAGAACGGCTTCCGCCCTGTCCTGAAGAGTGAGGAGGCAAAGTGAATCCAGGACTCCAGGATACCCACGTTCCAAAAGCCTTCAAGAAAGAAAAGACAAGATAAAGTGAGGCTGCAACAGAATTATGCTCCCTCCTGCTGCTCCACTGCTATCCATCACCTCTGCCTTCCCAGGGGGGCACACGGGCGGGGGGGTCGATCCAGAAGGAGCTCCCCGCCCCAGGCCGGAAAGTCCAAGAGATGGTTTCCTGGCCTTGAAGGTGGACGTGGAGGGAGGAGCCTCTTCCATCCTCCTGGGATGCAAAGAGGTACACGTGGCACTTCATCCCACAGAAAGAGAGACTGAGGTCCCCCCCCTCCTGTCCCTGGTCATCCAGAGAGGTTGATCTCATCTAAAACCAAGGCACACTGGCAGAACAGGAGAAAGGGCAGGCAAGAGGGTCCAGGCACACAAGCCAGTGAGGGCGGCAGGGTCCAAAACAGAGCAGCCGGAATGACCCTGACACATTTCTACATACGCATAACAAACATTCAGGTCCTGCTCCTGCCTTCTTGGTAGCTCTCATGTCTTCCTCCAAGACTGAGCAATTTTGCCTGGGCCAAGGCCTGCCCTGGGCGGCTGCAGCCCATTCCCAGCCCCTTCCAGGCACACAAGCCAGTGAGGGCGGCAGGGTCCAAAACAGAGCAGCCGGAATGACCCTGACACATTTCTACATACGCATAACAAACATTCAGGTCCTGCTCCTGCCTTCTTGGTAGCTCTCATGTCTTCCTCCAAGACTGAGCAATTTTGCCTGGGCCAAGGCCTGCCCTGGGCGGCTGCAGCCCATTCCCAGCCCCTTAAGCAGGGCGCCAGC